AGGTCCCGGCGTCTCGGTGGTCCCACCGCGCCGAGGTTCGCCGCAGGTAGCCCCCGGGCCCTGGGACATAAGGACCCGAGTCAGGAGAGCCTCTCCGGTCGGTATGGTGGCTCTGGCCGTCCGGGCAACAAGAGATGGGCAGGCGTTGGCAGGAGAGTAGAGGAGGAAACAGGTCGGGACGGGCGGGCGGACATCGAGCCGCGGGCACTCGGGACATCGGCGCTGGGGCTGGGTGCAAGCCAGAAGCTACTGAAGCAGCTGGGGTCTTCAGGGAAAGGAGAGTGGAGTCCCAGAGCTGTCGACCCTGTCACTCTACACAGGCACCAGGGTCCTGTTAGGATCCCCTCCCCTCAACCTGTTTCAAGGGTAGCCCTGGTCCTGCCTGCCCTCCCCGCCCCCAACAGAAACAGAGATGAGAACGGGCAGGCGAAGAGCTAGGAGTGTCTGCGGGACCATCCCAGGACCCTGAGCCCTGCAACTCTCTGCATCCCAGGGCTGACTTCGACCTGAAGCGCCGCCTCTCAGGCGCACCGAGAGAGAAGAGGAATGTGTTATTGAAATCTCCGCGCCGCCCCCCTCCCCCCCCCCGGCCGGGCGCAGTGGCTCACGCCTTTAATCCCAGCATTTTGGGAGGCCGAGGCGGTTGGATCATGAGGTCAGGAGTTCGAGACTCAGCCTGACCAACATGGTGAAACCCTGTCTCTACTAAAAATTAGCCAGGAGTGGTGACACGCGCTTGTAATCCCAGCTACTAAGGCAGGATAATCGTTTGACCCTGAAAGGCGGAGGTTGCAGTGAGCCAAGATAGTGCCATTGCACTCCAGGCTGGGCGACAGAGCGAGACTCATCTCAAAAAAAAAAAAATCTCCACCCGCTCCTTGCTGCTGATGGCAAGACTGACTCCTCCACCCGGTATTCTGCCCATGCCCGCCCCAGCTCAGGTGCAGCTGCCCAGCTTATGGGAAAGCTTCCCTCCACAGACCTGGGCCCAATCACAGGACATCAGGAGAACACACTGTCCTGAGAAAAGAGATTCTGCCCCAGCCGTCTGCCCACCTGCCTTCAGCACCCTCAGCCATGGCGCTCGAGTGCCCCCCCATGCTACCTACACACATCTGCCTTCCTGCCCCATTAATGCTCTGTCGGGCCTTGGGCACAGACTCCAAGCGATAGGCAGTGGCTGCCCCTCCCCAAGCCAACAGCCTGAGCTCCATGGGGACCAGCCACCCTAGAGCCATAACCCTTGGACCATAACCAACCATGCAGAGTTGGGGGCGTGAAGGGCTGGTTCCTTTTTCTCCCTCCAGCTCCTCAGGTCACAGGAAGGTCAGGCTACCAGTTTGAGTCCCCAGGGGGCCAGGGGGGAGTCTGAGCTGTGCCCCAAGAGTCTCAGGTGCTTCCTCTTTGACAACAGTCCCCAGAATCCCCATTTCCCCACACACTGCACCCCACCCCGAGAGTGGGTCTTCAACTCCCAGACCCACCACAGTCACATTTTTCAGCCAGGATCTCATGACCGTCACAATAGCTGTTGTTGACATGTTGAATATTATTAACCCATTTTACAGAGGGGAAGCAAGGCTCAGAGAAAGTTAAAAACGGACCCAAGGTCAGGGGCAGAAACGGGAGGCAGAGGGGAGGCACTCCTCTCACACCCCACCCCTAGGGACCAAAGCTGTAGCCAACTGAGCAGTAGTAATCTGCGTCATCTTCAGGCTGCACGGGACTGATGGTGAGGACACAGGCATTGTGGGCCTCATCCTTGGCTGCGGAGAATCGATCAGGGATGTCAGCGGGCCGGTGGTGATCCTCCTCCGAGCGGTAGTAGAGGAGATATCGAGGGGCACTGCCTGCCCGCTGCTGGTACCAGGACACACCATAGTCCCTGATGGTGACGTGTTGGGGGCTGAGCGTGCAGGAGAGTTGAGCCACTTGGCCTGGGAAGACCAGCAGTGCATCCGGCTGGGCCAGGACTGTCTGGGAGACTGAGAGACACAAACACACTCAGGCCCAGCCTGAGCTCCTTCTCTCCCACCCCTGCCCTGTGAAAGCTTGGTTGGACTCCATGGAGACTCCCAGTTCCAAAGGGCTCATAGCCCAGTGCTATGAGATTAGCAATGAATGGGGTGCAGGAGGCCTGGTTCTGTGTGACTTAGGGTGCCCTCTCTGGACCTCCATCTCCCTTTTTGAGTGAGAGATTTGGAGTTAGCCCCCAAGTCCCCATTAGTGCCATCCCCTAAAGGACCTGTGTTCAGTTAAAGGCCCAGAGCTCAGAAGGTTGGACTAGCAGCCTCTAGGTCCCTCTGCTACCCATCCACGTTTCTCTGCAGAACTGCACCCCTCCTCCCCCACTTCCCCGCCCACTTCACTTCAGCTCTTCCAAACCCTGAATACAGACTAACCAACCCCAGGAACCTCCTGGGCTGTCCCACACATCTACTCAGCCTCCAGCAACTGGCTGCAGGGACCCTCTCAGGGAGGTTAGATTGCCTCAGGCCCTGTGGGGTAGGGACCAGCCCACAATAGCTTCCCCTGTGAAAAACTAAGAAGGAGACCCAAAGTCAGAGTCCGGGGCTCTAGTGATCTGGTCTTTCACAAATGGGAAAATCAAGACCCACACAGGAAAGTGATTTGCCCCAGGTCAAGGGCAGAGCTGCCTGAAGCCAGGTCGCCCCTCTACCTCAATACCCCTCCCAGCCAGGCACAGTGGCTCAAGCCCGTAATCCTAGCACTTTGGGAGGCTGAGGTGGGCAGATCACCTGAGGTCAGGAGTTTGAGACCAGCCTGACCAACATGGAGAAACCCTGTCTCTACTAATAATACAAAATTAGCCGGGTGTGTTGGCGCATGCCTGTAATCCCAGCTACTCAGGAGGCTGAAGCAGGAGAATCACTTGAACCCGGGAGGTGGAGGTGCATTGAGCCGAGATTGCACCATTGCACTCCAGCCTGGGCAACAAGAGCAAAATTCTGTCTCAAAAAAAAAAAAAAAAAACCCTCCCAGGACCTGCTCTACTGTCCCCATCAATTTGCCTCCTTGCAGGGGCCTTCTGGGGCCAGTACTGTTCCCCACCCCACACCCAGGTGAGTGAGGCCCAGGGAGGATTCACCTGACAGGAAGGTCCCCATCAGAAGGAAGCTGAGGCACCAGCAGGCCATGGCCAGAGGCAGGGAGGCAGGCAAGGAGAAGTTCTGCAAGGCTATATGCTCCAGGTGCTTTGGGGCACGGGGCTGGGAAGGCCACTGGACCACAACAGAGCATGCAAATCAGCCTATTGAGTGAGGAAGGAGGGGCGGTGACTGGAGCCCAATGGCCAAGCCCCATCTCCCCAAATGCCAGGGTCCTGGCACCACGAGGCCTTCCAAGAACAGGAGCCCAGAAGTCCTCATGTGCAGTTATAGCAGGTAGAAATCTACTTTTTTATTGAGGTACAACTAGCATACAGTAAAGTGCATAAATCTTAAGTGTATAGCTTGATGATTTTATGTATATGTATGTATGTGCGCACACACACGCGTGCACACACACACACACACACTCCTGCAACCTCCACCCAGATCAAGATTTAGAAAATCTCAGTTGAGGGCGGTGGCTTACGCCTATAATCCCAGCACTTTGGGAGGCAGAAGAAGGCGGATCACTTGAAGTCAGGAGTTCAAGACCAGCCTGGCCAACATGGTGAAATCCCATCTCTACTAAAAATACTAAAATTAGCTGGGCATGGTGGCAGGTGCCTGTAGTCCCAACCACTGCAGAGGCTGAGGCGGGAAAATCGCTTGAACCCGGGAGACGGAGGTTGCAGTGAGCCAAGATCGCACCACTGCACTTCAGCCTGTGTAACAGAGCGAGACTCCGTCTCAAAAAGAAAAAAAGAACATCTCCATCTCCCCTGAGGTCCCCTCAGTTAATGATGACCTGCACCCTCAAGGGAATCATCATTCTGACTTCTATCACTTTAGTTTTTGCCTGCTCTAGAGCTTCAACTATAAGTGGAATGATAGTGTGCCCTCTTTTATGCCGCTTCTTTTGTTGAACAGGATGGGAGTGATCCATGTGTGTGCGGCAATATTTCATTCATGCCCATAGCTGTGTGTAATCCATTGTGTGAATGCACCATAATCAGTTTCTCCATTCTCCTATTGTTAGACATTTGGATGCTCTCCAGTCTTTGGCCGTTACAGATAAAAATTCTGTGAATGTCTCTGTCCATGTCTTTTGGTGCACTCATTTGTGCTGGAGACACACCCAGGAATGGAGCTGCCAGACGGCAAGGAAAGAATACATTTAGCTTTACTAGGTCTGCCAGGGTTCCCCATGTGTTTGTACCAATCTGGTCTTCCACCAGCAGAGTAAGAGAGTTTACAGTGACTTGGCATCCTCACCAGCACTTGACATTATCACAACCTTTAATTTGCTAGGATTCCAAGTAGCTGAGGTGGTTTTGAACTTGGGTTTGAATCCTAGCTCCTGCTCTTCTTTTTTTTTTTTTTTTTTTTTTGAGGCAGAGTCTTACTCTGTCGCCCAGGCTGGAGTGCAGTGGCCGGATCTCAGCTCACTGCAAGCTCCGCCTCCTGGGTTTACGCCATTCTCCTGCCTCAGCCTCCTGAGTAGCTGGGACTACTGGGACTACAGGCACCTGCCACAACGCCCAGCTAATTTTTTTGTGTTTTTAGTAGAGACAGGGTTTCACCGTGTTAGCCAGGATGGTCTCGATCTCCTGACCTCGTGATCCGCCCGTCTCGGCCTCCCAAAGTGCTGGGATTACAGGCGTGAGCCACCGCGCCCGGCCAACTCTTTTTCTTTTTTATCAGAGTCTCGTTCTGTCGCCCAGGCTGGAGTGCAACGGCGCTATCTCCGCTAACTGCAACCTCTGCCTCCCGGGTTCAAGCGATTTTCCTGCCTCAGCCTCCCAAGTACCTGGGATTACAGGCATGCGCCACCAGGCCCAGCTAATTCTTTTTGTATTTTTAGTAAAGATGGGATTTCACCACATTGGCCAAGCTGATCTCAGTCTCCTGATGTCTCCTCTCAGTCTCCTCCTACTTTGGGCTCTCAACGTGCTGGGATTACAAGCATGAGCCACCTCACCCAGCCATGAGAGTAAATAACTCTTCTGAAAGCATGCTTTTCAAACGCAAGTCAACTAATCCCAACCCCCTCAACTCCCTCCTTAATCTGCTCTTATACTCCACCTGCCCTAATCTCTCCAGGTCTATGCACCAGACAACTAGGGACAGCCCATGCTCCAGAATCCACTTTAATTATTCAGTCCTAAACCTGCCGGCCCAGCCTTGGAAACCACAATAGAGGCCCTTGCCCATAGTTCCTCCCACTCCTTCTGCTTCCTGTGTGGCACACCTTGGTGTACTCCCTTTTTTAGGGGAACTTTGAGTAACAAACTATCTTTTCTTTCTTTCTTTTTTTTTTTTTTTTTTTTTTTGAGACAGAGTTTCGGAGTTTAGCTCTTTGTTGCCCAGGCTGGAGTGCAGTGGTGTGATCTCAGTTCACTGCAACCTCCACTTCCCAGGTTCAAAGTGATTCTCCTGCCTCAGCCTCCCAAGTAGCTGGTATTTTTTTTAGTAGAGACGGGGTTTCACCACGTTGGTCAGTTTCACTATGTTGGTCAGGCTGGTCTGGATCTCCAGACCTCATGATCTGCTCTGCCTCCCAAAGTGCTGGGATTGAAGGCGACCGATCACAAACTATGTTTCAATGGCACTTTCCCCCTGCTCCACCCCTCCCCTTCCCTTCCCTTGCCTTTCTTGTCTTCTCTTTTCTTTTCGTTTGTCTTGAGACAGTCTCGCTCTGTCGCCCAGGCTGGAGTACAATGGCACGATGCTCAGCTCACCACAACCTTCGCCTCCTGGGTTCAAGTGATTCTCCTGCCTCAGCCTCCTGAGTACCTGGGACTTATAGGCATGCACCGCCATGCCCAGCTAATTTTTGAATTTTTAGTAGGGACGGAGTTTCACTATGTTGGCCAGGCTGGTCTCAAACTCCTGACTTCGTCATCCACCTGCCTGGGTCTCCCAAAGTGCTGGGATTAAAGGCGTGAGCCACCGCGCCCGGCCACAAACTATGTTTTCAATGGCACTTTTCCCCCCTCCCCTCCTCTCCCCTTTCCTCCCCTCCCC